CTGTATTTTCTGTAGAAACAGAAAATAAAGAATTATGATATATAATGGCTACTTCTAGGAATAAATACCAAATCAGATTTGGGAAATAGGACACACATATTTGAGAACTGGCAGAGTGACCTAGGATTTGGTTAAAAGTCACTCCTGAATGTACATGGCACTGACTGTAAGCCATGGGTTAGAAAGAAGGAAGGAAAAGGTATGTGGGGATAGGCTAGGAAGGATCCCAAGAGGCTGGAAATGAGGCAGGTTTTAAAGGATGAATAGGGTGTAGAAAGGAAGAAAAGGGAGTGGGGATGTGATGTGGAAGACAGGATGTCATTTGAAAGCAGAGATCACACTATGAGTAGCTGGGGGTGTGGGATGGGGACCTGGGAAGAGGCGGTAAAGGCCGGTGCGTCAGCAGTGGACAGCTGAAAGGTAAATGCACAAGGCCTTGAGAAGGGCTCCAAGGGTGCAAGGGGGTACTGTCCCCATCTTGAGGAGCAGCTATGTTGGCTATGAGGGTCCTTGTTCCCCATTGTTTTCAGAGCCCAGAAGAAGATCCAATACAATCCCTCAACATGGATTGAATAGATGAAAGAAGAAAAGTCAAGGGCTGGGGTTGTGGCTCAGCGGCAGAGCACTCACCTAGCACGTGCAAAGCCCTGGATTCGTTCCTCAGCACCACATAAAAATAAATAAATAAAATAAAGGTATTGTGTCCAACTATAACTAAAAAATAAATATTTTTTTAAAAAATATGAAAGAAAGAAAAGTCAGCACAGCCTAAGTGACCCAAATGCTACCAAGGATGAAAAACTCAAAGGAACATGGTCCAGTTCTGCAAAGAGAACAACACAGAGAGTGGAAGGCTTCCAGGGGAGCAGAACTAGGGGAGGGGCTGCAGGTCAGGGAGCCTCAGAGGTTTACAGAGAGCAGAAGGAGCCAACAGACCCAACCTCAGGGGGAGGGTAGAAAAGAAGTGGGAGGACCAGGTTGGGGAGCTGACCCTTTGAAAGTGGAGGTACAGTGAACAAAGGTAGATGTCCTCACCTGAAGACAGAAGAAAGAAGGGAGGGAAGGGAGACACGGGTTACCTCCCCTCGATGGCCTCAGCTTTCTCAATTAAGAGAATGGGTACCTAGGTACAGCCTTTTAGAAATCCAAGACGCCCTCCAACCACCCTATGAGGAAGAACAAAAGCACAATTTCTAAGATGGCAGCCAGCCTTATAGCCACGAACAACTGTTCTGCAGCCCAGAACTGTCACAAGGCTGACCAAGGCAATCAAGGGAACATACCTTCTCCCTTTACCCCAGTGGCCCATCTGGACAGGTCCCTCGGTGTGTCATTCTGTAGGACTCAGCCCAAAGTCTAGGACCCTCAGCTGGGTGGGAAGGAAGGCTGTGTCTATTTCCTGATGCATTTGAGAACCAGGAGGCTTTACATAAATAATGAGGATGGTCTTATTTGGTTTATACTTGGGCACACATAGTCAAGTAGGTGCATTTTCATTCTGCTCTTTCAGAATTCCTGGAAAGGCTGAATAATTTCAGAATAAAGACAATGCCAAATGCAGAGCCATTGTTGGGAACACAGGCGGGGGACGCAAGCATCTGATAAGGGATTGTACCAGGTGATCTCCAAACATCCTTACAGCCTGACATGTAATGACAAGTGTCATGGACCAGATTGAAGATAGATAGAAACTGAGGAGCATGGAGAGGACCCGCATCCTAATTGCAGCTCACCATTCACGATAAACACACAAGTGCAGACAGAAAGCTGCTTTGTGCACAATCCAGAGCTGAGGAGACGGGAGAAACCTGAAGTCAGTGAGCACCAAGTTCCCACAGTTCCTCCCCATACTATGCATTTTACAAGGGGACAAGGTAAGGGACTCAGATCAGGAGAGCCCAGGGATCCACAATGTGAGCATTTTCCTCTGAATACCTCAAGTCTTGCCATCCTCCCAAGGAGTGACCCCAGCTTTGTCTGCACCACTGCAAACATTCCCTGCTCATTTTATGTGCCAAGGCACATGTGGCTTTAATTATTGATGGCAGTGTCTCATCACACACAGGGATGTGTCTCAGAGTCAGTTCCCTCAATCGGTGAAGCCTTGATAATCAGAGTCCAGCTGCATCTGAGCCAGTGAATCTCCGCTGAGGGCTGGCCCGGGCGCTGCCTGTCCCCGTCTGCATAAGTCACTGTGGATTAGCAGAGGGAGGATTGGCCAAACACATTTACAACGCTCCTGCACAGTGTTCATCATGCCCCACATGCTATGTGAAAAACAACTGGAGCCGTCTGCTGTCTACTGAGGGCTAGATGCATCGCTGCCCTCAAAAGGTACTTCCCTCATCACAGAAGGCTTTGACACTCTGGAGTCATCGCAAGACGCTGTCTGCTCCCCCCATCTTTCAAATCTCCATCGATAAACCTGCTTCTCCTGCATTTTCACTGACCTCTTCCTGCTTACCCAGAAGGATGTCTGGATCCCTCCAAAGGCCACTGTGAAGCACACAACCCAGAGAGCTCTAGGAGGAAGGCCCTTCCAGGTTTTCCTGGTACTGTGGCTCCTTGGCTAAGTACTGTGTCCTGACATCAAAGGACTCTCACCAGATCCCACAGCTCTCTCCATGGTTCCCAAGTTCCCACAGAGACAATAACTCTGATGGTTCAAAGGGAACTTCTCTAAAATGTGCCAGATTCCTCCCATCCGGAAATGTTGCCAATAACCTGAACTCAGGAGCTGCAGTGAGCAGACATGACGCTGTGATCGTATTCTGAACTGGAAATCCAGAGATCCCACTAATGGGAATGCAGGTGATCCTCATTATTCACAGATTCTGTGCTTACAAATCCCTCTGCTCTTTAAAGTTTATTTGCAATCCCAAAACCAGTATTTGAGGTGCTTTCACGTGGGTCATGCCCAAAGCGGCAAAAAATTTGAGTTATGCTCTGGGCACATTTCCAGCTGAGGCTGACCAAGGCCACATTCTGCCTTCCTTCTAAAAAAAAATATGTATTTAAATTGGCAAATAAAAATTATACATATTTATCACTTATGACACATTGTTTTGAAATTCTTATTTCAGTTTTCATGCTATAAACAAGTATCTTTTTTGTGGTCTCTTCCAGGCCACATTTTTTTTTTTTACATTCTGGGTTTTTTTGTTTGTTAATTTGGTTCTTTAAGATGGCTGCCAAGCATGGTTCTGAAATACTGTCTTGTGTTCCTAAACACAGGATGAGTCTCACAGAGGGATAGGTAAGTTTTGAACAGTCATGAGTTATAGCTGTTGGCCATTGAGTTCAATGTTAATGAGTCCACAAAGCATCTTAAATAAGGCCTCTTTAAATGGAAACACACATACAACATACTACAGCAAGGTTATGTATTAACTGGCTGATAAAACGTGACCAGAGGCTCACAGGATCCTAATACTGTATCTCCCCTAGGAAAAATGGTTCAGTGTTCTCTGATTCACTGTTTGCAGTGACTTTACAGAAAAGAACTACCTCAAATAATGAGAATCAACTATATATACTCAACAGAGCAACAGCTAAGTCTCTGTTCAAATATCAGTAGCATCCTGGAAAACTCAGTATCTGCCCTAGGAGGAGCTAGGACCACGCTACCATCACAGGATGGCCACTCCCAGGCCAGGCCAGGAATAAGTCTGATCTGAGACAAGAGCTTTAGCCAAAGGAACCATTCTTTGCACTGTTTCCCACTGCTTATCTGAAATACAGGTATCTTTCTTCCTTGCTTAACCCAGACACCAGCTATCCTTCCTCCGACACTGACAGGGAGCCTTTGATAAACTCTGAGGCAGACTGTGGAGGATACTCAATGTTGGGAGGCAAATGATGACCTTATGTTGACTCAAGCCTAGTCTCTCCCACGGTGGAGACCCTCTTACGAAAAATCAGAGCTAGAGAAATGGAAGCGAAGGCTGATGAGGTTTCCAAATGTCCAGGCTGGTACAGGAAGACCCAGCAGGAGCAGCAAGGGCCCTGTGAGTTCAGAGTGTGGCCCAGATGCAGAGAGCTCAGCCCAGAGGATGAGCAAAAGCAGAATTCACCTCTTCCTAGGCCTACCCTGGGACTGGCTGACAAGAGAGCTCACAGCAGGCAGCCTGGGGCAGGAATCAAGATCTCACAGCCTCCTAGACCTTCAGAATTCCTGTCCACAAGGTAAAGCCTAAACCTAGCTGATCACTTGGGTCCCTTCCGCTCTCACGTAGTCACTGGTGTCTGTGCTGTCCAGGGGCCTCTGCCTGCTCTCTTGAAGCAGTGGATTGTTTCCGGGGACAGGAGAAGTGGAAGGGAAGGGGTGTGCATTGGTGTTGCTGGACCCAGGTTGGACGTGGAGACCCAGCAAAGGGAACACTGCTGGGTGGAGGGATAAGACACTGCAGCTCTAGGGGTTAAGGGGAACCTAGCAGGGCTGAGGAGAAATGCAAAGAAAGGGGCTGGAATGAACAGGAGGTCAGAGATGAGGAGGAAGCAGGTGGCCTAAGTCCTCTGGTCTGCGATAGGGAGGTGAGGGTTGCTGGTGCTCCAGTTCTCAGAGAGTGAGCACTTCGGAGCACTGGAGGGGCAGCTAGGTACTCACCGCCCTTCATTCCCTTCCCCTCTAGTGGAGGCCCAGGTGGAGGCCCTAATGACCTCGGGGGCTGTTGTGTGGACAGTCAGGTTTTGTGCTCTAATTATACAAGCCAGGTCTACAGAGAAGACCAGCCTTATTTGTGTCTGTGCCTTACTGGGAACACCTCTCCCTAGCCAGGTGAAGAAAAGTGGGAACCAGATTCAGCCCGACAGCCCTCCCTTCCCCAGGGAATCTGCCCAATGGCTATCTTTCAAGTTGTGAGACAAATAGGGAGGGTCTGTTTGGGGGACACTGGCAGGTGGCAGGTCATCCCAGAAGGTTCCAGAACCCCAGCTACATGGTCTGTTGCCACACCGCCCTTCCCACCCAAGAAGGGACAGAATTCCATCCCAGTACTTACACGTGTCTGGCTTGTGGCAGTTATGTCCCTGACGGAAGTACTGAGGGTTCTCAATGACTGGAATGCGGGTCATGCCGATGACAACCGTGTCGGGCCCGGCGTCCAGCGATGAGGGTGTGGTGATGCCGTGGTTGATGTGGTGCAATGGGCTGGCTGAGTCCTCTTCACCACTGATGACAGCCACAGGACCTGCACACCACAAGAGACATGGGAGCCTGGTGAGGTCACACCCAGTCATTCTTAGCCCTGCCCACCAAGCCCTCAGTATTTCTCCCACTACAGTCTCCGTAAGAGCAAAGTCCTTTAGGAGAGTACATTTCCTCCGAATGTGCTGAATTCTGAATTGAGAGAATCCTACCCAAATTCTCTCAGGAATTAGCCATCCATTAGCCATGGAAATAGCTGCAAAATAAAAGTGTACCAAAATGACTGTGATATAAATTATCTTCACTTCTTCCCAAATCCAAATTAGTTCAAAATAATACAAGTTTAAAATCAGCTTCTTTACTTATGTAGCAATAACAGGATTCAAAAAAAAAAAATGATGTAGCACTAGTTTGTACCCTGCCCCTCCTTTATTTGGGAGCTTTAGAAACTAACAACACTGGGTTCCACCCCAAAAAGATGTGATTCGATTGGTCTGGGGATGCAACCTGGCATCAAGATTGCAAAAGCGCTCCAGGTAAGTCCCATGCACAGCAAGGATTGAGAACCTCTGATTAAGGGGGCGCAATCCCAGAGGAGTGGAACGGGTCTCCCCAGTCTCTGCCACAACCCTCCCTCATTCACAGGTAGAGACCAGTATAAACCTGGGTCTAACCTGAGTCAGGTTTCACTCATGACAGTCACAAGGCTCTGCTGCTATTAGCCTCCTATGGCTGGCTCAGCTATCCCCCTCTTAAAGATTCATACTGCCCCAATGGCTTCAAAGAACATCTTGTGCATCCCTACCAATCCTAGCTCTGCCATTTTGTAGCCCAAAGAAGAAACCCAGTGAATACGGTTCACTTAAAAGCGCAAGTTGACAAAGATAATTAACACTGCAGTCGTGGCAGAACAATGATTCTTTTTTGTGGTGTGATTTTCCCATACATACAAATAAAACTCCTGTAAAGGGAATTAGCTGTGACTGTTTGTGGCTTCATACGACTGGCATTTTAAATGGCTGCTTTGCTAGATGCCGGGTCCCTAGACAAAGTGCCTGCTGTGATTTGGTTTTGCGGCTTGAACAATATTTCCACTGCAGAAATCCATTACATCTTACTGAAGTTTATGGAGAGAATATTTCCCATCAAACAGCGAGGTGAAGCGCCAATGAGGCAGAACTAAATGGAAGACTGGTAAATGCAAACCGAGACCCTGAATTCCACTCCGTCAGCACAGACAGGCTTATTCCAATCCATGACAAATGGCCGACCGTGTTGGGAGACCATGTGAAAAAGTAGCAATGAGACCATGTGAAAAAGTGGCTGCCCACTCATCGCGATAACCACTTGCCTCGAGAAAAGAAGCCAGTGCCTGAAAGCACCGGGGAAACTTTGTGAAAAACTTCACAATGACTTCCAGTGAGAGAGGGAAAACTAAGCACTGGTCTTTGTCTGCTTTCCTTTGCCATTAAAATACAAAGGAATAAAATAAATATTTGTTCACAAAGAGAAAGAGGAAGAGAGGAGACAAGGTGAAAGGAAATACGATATGTCACAACTGCAGAAGATGAACAGTCAAAGGACAGGGACTTAGAGAAAGTACCACTCATGGAACTACAGGGGCAAACCTGATAGGAAGTCACTTGTGCTGGGCAGGCTCTGTTCTTAAAGGGATAGGAAAGTCAAGAAGGGTGGAATTTATTCCTAAAGAAACTGAATCCACCATCGTGATGGTGGAATGTGATGGTCATCATTATCCAAAGTACCCTGTATGAAGACACGAATTGGTGTGAATATACTTTATATACAACCAGAGATGTGAAAAACTGCGCTCTGTATGAGTAGTAAGAATCGTTATGCATTCCGTTGTCATATATTTTAAAAAATCAATTAAAAAAAAGAGAAACTGAATCCAGAAAACTCAGGGAAAGCTCAGATGAACCATGAAGTGAGCCTCTATCTTCCTGCTCCCAGAACAACAGAAACCATGTTCAGCCCAGCCTACCAACCCCAATCTCAACTTCAGGAGAGAGAGTAGAGATTCCTTCTCTAGAGAAAGTCTCAAGGAAGATTCCCCACAGCCAGATGCAATGGTGCACACCTGTAATCCCAGCAACTCTGGAGCCTGAGGCAGGAGGATTGAAAGTTTAAGGCCAGCCTCAGCAACTTAAGGAGGACCTAAGCAAGCTGGCAAGACCCTGTCTCGAAATAGAAAATAAAAAGTGTTGGGGATGTGGCTCAGTGGTTAAATCAAGAAGAGGAGGAGGAGGAGAAAGAGATTGACATTTTTGGATCTCCCAAAGAAAAGTCAGGTTCACTCTGTGACTATGGCACTCTGAAGTGGATATAGCCAGTGGATACAGCCCTCCACCCCATGCACACAAGGCAGGTTCTTATTAGCTATCTAATGCTCGGTTCCTAAATATGAAGACACAGTACAGGATCACCAGGTATTTCAACAAAGCTTCAGCATTTCAGAAAGAGAAAGAACAAGACAAGCAGACAATCAGGGACCAGCAGGAAGCAGAGGACTTAAAATATATATACTAATACCCTCAGAGAGGCAAACGAAGACACTGCATCTGTAAAACAAGGCAATTCTTAAAGTGTGAACAATAAGATGGAAGGAAAGAATCCTTGGGAATTATAATCACCGAAATTTAAAAGTCAAAGGAGAATGGAAGATTAAGTCAAGAAAAATCTTCCAGAAAATCAGAGAGGGAAGAGGTATAAATAGGAAAGAAAAGAAAATTAATGTTCCACATAGAGATCACACATATGATTAAACAGAGTTCCAGGGTTAGAGGAGAGAATATGAATAGAAAATATGGAAGGGAGAATGAGAAACTTATGGAAATTTCCCCAACTTACCTACCCGGTTCCCATGTACGATTAATACATGTGCTCGAGTGCACATTCTCACTCACACACATCAGAAACAAAATTCCAAAATGCCAGAACAATGGGGAGAAAGAGAAGATGCTCAGAGTTTCCAGGAGGGAGGGACAGGTCACATTTATGGGAATAACAGGCAGATTTATATCAGACTTCCAAAAAGAACAGCTCAGAAAGGCCAAGGCAGGTCTCCCTAACAATACCACTGCTGTTTCTGAATGGAGTAATTCCTTCCCAATGTCAATGGACAATTATTCAACTTGGAATTCTACACACACAGCACATGCAGATGGGTCCTCGTACACATGAGCAGGCACACACACATATGGTTTAGGTATGAAATGTCCCCCAACGGTTCATGTGTTGTTGGCATGGTGCTCCATGTTTAGAAGTGGGGCTCTGGGGAAGTGGCTGGATGATGAGGGCTCCAAACTCCTCAATGCATTAATCCATTCACGGTTCATCACTGAACAAACTCTTGAGAGATGGTGGAAACTGTAGGAGGCGGGGTTGGGGTGGAGGACGTAGGTCACTTGGGGGTGTCCTTAAAGAATATCTCTTGTCCCCATCCCTCTTTCTTCTCTCTCCCTACCTCTCTTTCTCTCCTCATGGCTGCCACAGAGTGAGCAGCTTTCCTGCACCACTCCTTTCACCATGGTGTCTCAGCCTTGCTCCAGGTCTAAAAGCCATGAAGCCGGCTGGCCAGGGACTGAAACTTCTGGAGCAGTGAGTTGTGAGCCTCCTTTAAGGGTTTTTTTGTGTTCTTGTTGTTTTTCCAGGCATTTTTATCACAGCGATGAAACCAAACACTATGTATGTATGTATATGCACACACACACACACACACACACACACACACACACACTGTAAGGGCAACAGAAAGTTATTTTGCAAATATGTAAAAAGTCATGTCACTTGTCTCCTTTCTTAGGAAACATCAGGAGGAAGGACTCCAGCAAAACAAGGGGAGAAACAGGAAAAAAAAAAGTAGTAGGGTAGCCATCTCAGGCCACAGAGCTGTGGGAAGGAGGTGTCTCGGGGGGCAGGAAAAGAAACACAGTGGCAAAGGCAGGATTCAGGCCAGGCTGTCTCACTCGCTCCAACACTCAGTCTTCACTGCAGCCACATTGCTTATTATACCTGTTGACCGTTGACCACAAAAAGACAAAAACCAAATATTAGCACTCCTCCCCACCCGTTTCTGTCCTCAGCATCATGGGACATGGGTTGTTACAGTGACTTGGAGGAAGGACATAGAATAGGAAGAAGATGTAACCTGGGACTTCAACCTTTGGGAAATGCTGTTTCTTCAAATCTGCTCTCATGAAGTCCATGGAGAGTTGTCAACAAAATTTTCCAAGAGCCCATGATCTAAAACAGTCAGCACTTCTTTTATATTATTTTAGATTTTGGGAGAGGCAGAGTAACAATCACAGGTAAAGGGTCCTGCACCCAGGCTCATAAATCATGAGAAGGAATGAGAGCAATTTCACCAGAGGAAAATATGAAACTATGGTAAGTTGAATTAGCTGAAAAAATCATGATGATTTTATTACTGAGATATTACAGTGTTGAGTTCTATAAATGTAGCTTCTTTAATCTTAGAATGTTTTTGTGAGGTTGGTACTATTACTGATCCTATTTTAAAGATGGCAACATTGAGGCACAGAGCAGCTACCTGCCCTAGGACATGCACATGCCTAGCAAGGGAATAGTGTTATGGTTTAGATGTAAGGTTCCACCCCAAAAGCTCATGTGTAAGCAATGTAAGAATTTTCCAAGGTGAAATATTATGTTATGAGAGGTGTGACCTAACTGGTGGATTAATCCACTGATATGGATTAACTGGGCAGTAATTATAAAGAGGTAGGGTGTGGCTGGAGGAGGTAGGTCACGGGGGTCATGCCTTTGGGGGTGTATATTTTGTCTGTGGTGAGCATGTCCTGAATCGCTTTCTTCTTCCACACCTTTCCACCATGAAGTTCTACCTCACCTCTGACCGAGAGCAATGGAGCTGGACACCTATGGACTTAGACCCCTGAAATGATGAGCCAAAAGAAATATTTCTTCCTCTAATTGTTCATTTAAGGTATTTTGGTTACAGTTGACTAAAACAAGTTGTGACATGGAATTCAAACTCACAGCCTG